AACTCTATAGAATAGCTCAGTACAGACATCTCTAAAATGAGAATGGAGCTAAATAAATGGAAATAATTTTAAAAAGTGAAAGCATCCTCATCTGACTTCTCAAGTGATAAATCTTACAATGACGAAAGCTTGAATGAGGAACAATTTACAGTCTTAGAAATGCTTCTGAGTCATCATATTTATTAAGTGTGAATGTTACTGAAATCTGTAATAGCTTTTACATAAGTCTTGAGAATTGGAAAATGGTTTTGCAGTTGTTGTTATCATAGACATTAATTTTGGAAGCATGGGGATTGAATTCATGCATAATGAATGCAGGAATACCCAAGTGATACACAAGCTACCTCTGAAAAACTCCAGCAATTTGAGCTGAAGAATACTTACTACATGCAGTACTAGGCTTCTATTTTTAAATAAAAATTGCTAACTTTCATACCATTAACATCTTTTTATTATTCTGCATATTCACTATGACTATTTTGGAATACTACCAACAATAGAATTCACATAGAAAACATTCAGGGAGGCAAATGCAAAAGCAAACATTCATTCCCTTGGTATTCCTACCAATTGAACAGCTAGAGTAAGCAAGGCTGGACCTCATGCCTTGAGGCTTCTGTGCAGCCCTGGGAAGTGCCTCTACCCTTGATTGCAAAAATACTGTAGCGTATTCTTGCTATTCTGACATTATGAACAGTTTGATACTTTGGTATACTTTGGTGAATCCTCCACTTACAACCATTTGTTTAGTGACAGTTCAAAGTTACAAAGGCAGTGAAAAAAGTGACTTATGTCGGTTTTTCAAACTTACAACCATTGTAGCATCCCCACAGTCAGGTGATCAAAATTCAAACACTTGGCAACTGGCATGTATTTATGACAGTTGCACTGTCCTGGGGTCATGTGATCACCATTTGTAACCTTCCCAGCTGGCTTCCGACAAGCAAAGTCAATGGGGGAAGCCAAATTTACTTAACGACTGAATGATTCACTTAACAGCTGCAGTGATACACTTAACAACTGTGGCAAGAATGGTCATAAAATAGGGTGCAACTCACTTAACAACTTCTTAGCAACAGAAATTTTGGGCTCAGTTGTGATTGTAAGTCAAGAACTACCTTAATTAAAAATAAAAAATCTCAATTCTTTCTCAACTCCATCTCACCAACACATGTGAGGTCACTCCACCCAATCTGCAACCCTTGCCTCTTCCTAATATGGCATCCTTGGCCACCAAAGATTGCCCACTCTAACAGAGGATTCTTCTTTATCATTATACAGATGGCCAGAGAACCTACATGGTGTAATGGTTAAAGGCACTGAGCTAGAAACAGGGAGATATGAGTTCTGCTCTTGCCTCTTAGCCCTAGGAAGCAGTCAATGGCAAACCACTTCCAGAAACCTGTCAAGGAAACTTCTTGGACTTGTTCAAGCAGTGTTGTGGCCCATCAGCGGCCTGTGCGGATTGTAGCTGTTTCTGACAGCGAGGAGGTTGGTGTGGTGTTGCGCCAGCAGCCTGTGCAGCTGGCACCCGAGTCAGACAATGAGGAGGTTGGAGAAAGATGTGGTGCCAGAGGCAAGGATTCAGCCAGGACCTTCAGAACCTCCAGAAGCTCCTTTAAGTGAAGAGACAAAGAGGAGGAGCCCCTTCTCGATGCATGGGCGCGCAGAGCTGCCAAAAGGCAGGAGTGGCTCCTCAGGAGGAGGTCTCCTCGAGAGTAAGGCTTGGGGCTAATTGGCCACTCCCTTAGCCTATTTAAGGAGGAACGCTGACTGAAGCAAGTTGTAGGGAACAACTTAAGTTCATTCTCCTTCACGACTGGATCTCTGTGAATTGCTTCTGGGCTTTCTGCCAACCTCAGTAAGATTGTGATTCCTTTATCTTTGTTTTCTTGTAGGCTGTTAAGGAAGTTTATTTGTTTGGAAAAGACTGAGTTATTTTAGTAAATTTAAGTTTTGTACAAACTTTGTGTGTGCTGTTTTCTTTGGGGTCCGTAGCTGGGGCAGAACAGGCAGTCACTAAGAGTCAACACTGACTCAAAGGTGTGCACATGCACACCGACCCACACCTAATTATGTATTAATGAGGATGTGAAAGCTAACATCCAATGGATGTTCTTATTCCTGAAGTTCCAGGGAAGGAAATGATCCAAAGTAGACAAAATCATGACTTCCAATATTGCCAAAATGACTAAAACTAGAATCTCCCCAAATGTGTAAACATCCGGGAATACTTCCCTTAATAGTTTTAAGAAATTCATTCAAAATTACACACTGTTGGAGGTTTTTTAATTTATAAAATATTTGCAAATGGATTTAAATGAAGCTATTTAACTTTTATCAATTAAAAAAAAACCTATGGATCAGTATTTGAGGACTGTTTGCTTAAAATAATTATCACAGTTCTTAGATAATCATCTTCTGTATCCTTAGGAACCTGTCACCTTCCAGATGTTGATAAACAACAATTCCCCTGGATATATTATTGTTAACTCTGATAAGAGTTGAAGTCAGCAACTCTGGATTTTCAAAGAAATCAAAGATAACAAGATCCAGTAAGAATATTAAAACCCATTAGATAATTTTTATCCTTTTCATGGAAAGCTTTAAATCAAGAATCATAACAACAGACACAGACAAATGAAAATAAGAGAGCCTTGGTGGCACAGCAGACTAAAGCACTGTTAAATAACACCAGCTGCCTGCGATTACTGCAAATCTCACCAGGCTCAAGGTTGACTCAGCCTTCCATCCTTTTGAGGTAGGTAAAATGAGGACCCGGTTTGTGGGGGCAATAAGCTGACTTTGTATAAAAAAAGAACACCGCTTGGGGGGGGAGCGAAAGCCCTACTAAGCAGGTATATACAAAAGTATGAAGGCTATTGCTTAACGCATTGTAAGCCGCCCTGAGACTCCGGAAAAGGGCAGCATATAAATCGAACCAATAAATAAATAAATAAGTACAGATATATCACTGTCCATGTTGTCCACACATTTACTCTATTAACTGCAAAACAGCATTTTGCTATTCAAAATTTCAATCAATGTTTTCAATTTGAAATTGAAAATCTGAAAAGCAGCAAAAATCTATACATTTCAAAGTAAAAATTTGATTTTTTAAAAAATATTTTAATCTTATTCCTTCTTGAAGTAGCAGATCAATCCAAGATCTGAAACTAGTGGAGTCTGCATAATTGCTGAATTTGCAAAGTCTAGTTTGTCACTATTTTTTCAAATCAAACGAAGAGGAAGGAAATAAAACTTCAAAGAGAAGGTAATGCTTAATTGTTAGCAAGCAAAGATACATTTAAATCATGATTAGCAGGTGACGGAATACCCCTTTCCTCTACAAAAGTAAACTCAATGTAACTATTGTAGATCACACAGTTATTTCAATATAAATAAAAGTTAATATCAAATCCTTTAAAACACTATACATAGAACATGAGATTTGGCTTTCCTTGTAACTTTGTAGCATTTTCTCAGCTCATCAAGAAATAACCTTATATTTGTTGCCAAAATTTTGAAAAGCAGTACTATTTCTTTCTCACTCAGTTTGAAACTGATCCAGGGAAGAGTGGTTTTATGAAGCAATTCATTCAACATCCTACTGTTTCAGAATTTGGAAAAAGCCTGTCTCCCTCTCTCACACACACATACCCCTAACCGCTCAACAAGATTGGGCACTATGTCAAAATAACTGAATACTACAAATTTCTCAGTCTAACAGGATAACTTTGAGGTTCAACTCCCCAAGACACTCTTTTTTCCCCTTAATGTAGCAGCAGCACATCATTTGATGGAGAATGCTTATGCATCAAAAAATGTTCTCTAGTCAGGAAAAAGGAAGGCTTCATCAGAAATAAAACAGAACTATGAATACATTTCTATAGTATTAGCTTTCGTGGCATTGAATAAATCATGTCATTTAACGAAACATGCCCCCCAACCAATTTTAGAACACAGCAGATAATCCATCAATAACTACCAGGTTATTGATGCAATCGATCAGCAATCCAGGTTGATCAGAGGTTGGACATCACAGTGACTAGTTTATGACTAATTCTATAAACCATCCAACTGAGATTTTAAAACAGATAAAAGATGTTAATATGCAGCACCTTTTTATACGTCTAACTATCACCATTTCCCATAAAGACAGATACGCCTTTCCGTTTTTGCAGTGAGGAAAAAAAGGTGTGTCACTTGATGGATTTTTTTTTTTTAAAGTAACATGCTGCTTGGGTTTTAAGCTTCACCCAGTCTATATTAAACTAAAAACTGGGGCTGCCAGTTAGCTTTTAAATATAACAACAACAAAAACCCTTGCTTTTTATTAGGGTTGAGTCTAATAGTCAAATAAATGGCCCTTATTTTCAAGATAGCATAAGCAGCATCAGCTTTATATACAGATAGTTTCCCAGTGCAGACATTCACTTTCTTTCTTTTTCTTTCAATAAATATCAATGAAACAAAAACCTCTTTTTAAGCAGAAGATTTAGTGGCAAAAACCAAGTACTTTTGAAAATATACATTGGCTCCTTTCCAGGGTTTCCCTGAAGAGGTCATTGCTAATAGTTTTGGTCTCACACCAAGGCACACTAGCAAAATAGCCCGAAGCAGTCTTCTCTGCATCTCCCTCGCTCTCTCCTACCCACCCACTTATTCACAAGCACACACGCAGCCCGAGAACAATACACTCATCGGCGCGGTTCCTTTGCGCCCCGCCCGTCCTCTTCCCCCACCCCCCTTGCACTTAACGGAACAGCGTGACAAGAAGGGACCGGTTTCTTCATTAACTGCACTTAAAAGCTCTGTACGGTTTTAGTAGGCAGGCCCTCGCCTTAGAAAGGGTAGACTGGCCCGGCCAAGGTCCGCTCCAACCCCTCCACCAACACCGTCCTCGCCCGGAAGGTTGGGCCCTAAGTACATCTCTACCCCACTTCCCTCTCTCCCACCCTCTCTCTTCCCCGCGTAGAGGCAGTCAACCTGCTCTGTACCTGAGCTGTCCATGGTGCTGCAGTCGAGCGGCTGATGCTGATGCTGTCGCGCTGGGCTCCTGGCTGCTGCTACCACCGCGGGGATCACCCCTTGTTTGCCGAGGTTGCCGCCGCCGCCTCCGCCGCCACCGGTTCGCTCCCGGCTGCTGCAGAAGTCACCGTTGCTGTCCACCAGCTGCAAAGATTCATAGCCATCATTGTTGGTCTTTTTCCGGTAGCTCCCGAGGAGACTCATGGGCGAGTCAGACAGAGAGAGTGTCACCGCGGGCATAAAAGGCGGGAGAATCGCAAACAGCTCACCTTCCCCTAGAGGCGGAAGCAGCCACACACCCAGAGCGGGGCTGCAGCCCCAACAGGGCCTTACTTGCTGGCTGGCTGGGTGTGAGCGCAGGCGGTGGAGGCAAGCGACCTCCCCGCCTCTTGTCTCCCGTCCCCGCCTCTGCCTGGCAGCTATTGGAGCAGCCTTGGGAGGCACACCTTGCCTCCTGCTACAGACATTGAAGTCCGACCCTTTAGTCTCTAATGCCTACTGCTTTCAGGAAGCGATGCCCGGAAGCAATGTAAGAAGGCCTCCAGCGTGCCTGCGCACGTTTCTCTACCGCTTGGCTTCCATACCATCCCGCTACTTCTAGAGACCTAGAAAGGAGAGAGATCAAGCAGTAGGCAAAGCGGCATGGCCCCCTGCAGATCATCTTCATCCCGATTCAAGGCATTCAACATTCCAAGGTTAAAAGAAAGGCAGCGGGCCCAGGCAGGAAGTGGATAAGAATCTATCCCAAGATCTGAATCAAGCAGGCAATGGTGGTTGTTTTTCCCTGTGACACTCTCTAAGGAAGCATTACTTGGACTTTGAAGAAGCGGGGTAGAAAGAGTTGTTTATACTTTTGAAATTTGGTGTTGAAGATACAACTGATAGCCAAGAAGACAAACAAAAGAATTCTTGAACAAATCAAGCCAGAGTTTTCACTTGAAGTACACATGACCAGGTCCAAATTATTATACTTTGCACAAATTATTTAGTGGACAAGCTCTCTGATATCTATAATAATTCCAACGGTGAAAGGAAAGGGAAGATGAGCAGTAACAAACTGGTTGAACTCAATTACAGCATCAATGAGTACACTACTGGAAGTCCTATGGACCAAGTTGGAGACAGATCCACCTGGAGAAAAACTATGTGAACACTGAGAATCAACACTAATTTGACAGGACATAATCAATTCTCAAAACCTCACCTGGTGCCCTGTTCCTTCCTTGTAGCCCAAGCTTCCTTTGTATCCTACAAAAAGTGGGAAATTGGCCAACTTTCTGCCATCTAGTTTTTCCTTATCACTATCATCAGAGCCAGAAACATAGAAGATACAGTGAATATATGCAATAAAGTATCTAATGAAGCCTTCTTTACAAGTCACCTTCGCTAATTATACTAATATCATTCAAAATGTTACAACATTTTCATCCACACAATAAATGCTAGTGGTCTATGCAAGAGACTGCTATCTGGAATGCAGGTCCAAACTTTTACTAAGATAGGATAGCTTGGGTAACTAGAAGAACTATATTTGTATAAGTGAAACTCACTGCAATAACATCAGGTCTGTATATGCTGTCTTTTTATACTAATAATTAGTACATCTTCCAAGGAATGGTTTCTGTTTCACTAATTGTAATTGGATTTATTTAAATTATATCCCTAGGATTTGTATAAATTTATATATCTTATAACTGGTCAGAGTTACTTCAAATTGCAAGACGGGCAGAAAATAAATTTGATAATAATAGTTCTAATTCATCTCTAATCCATTTCCAATCCTGCCCATTCATGCAGTCAGAAATTCTAGGAGTACATTTAATTAAAATTGGTTTGTTTAGAAAACCTTCAGAGGTGCTTTGTTTTGCTTTTATTGGAATTTACAACTGTAGAAGTCAAACAAGCTGCAGGCACAATTTAAATATCCATAGTAAAAATCCATTGTTTCTGCATCAGATTCTAAGAGAAAAAGTCCCAAAATATTATTGGCTGGCATTTTAGACTGGGACATTCTAAACTAGAGTGTTTTTCCTAGCCTTGCTTGATCCAACCCTGTTCATATCGACATTTTTAAATAGAATAGAATAGAATAACAGAGTTGGAAGGTACCTTGGAGGTGTTCTAGTCCAAGCCCCCACCCGCACTCCCCACCCCCGCTTAGAAGGAAACCCTACACCACTTCAGACAAATGGTTATCCAACATCTTCTTAAAAACTTCCAGTGTTGGAGCATTCACAACTTCTGCAGGCAACTTGTTCCACTGATTAATTGTTCTAACTGTCAGGAAATTTCTCCTTAGGTCTAAGTTGCTTCTCTCCTTAATTAGTTTTCACTCATTGCTTCTTGTCCTACCCTCAGGTGCTTTGGAGAATAGCTTGACTGCCCTAGTCCTTTTCATTAAACTAGACATACCCAGTTCCTGCAACTGTTCTTCATATATTTTAGCATCCAGTTCCCTAATCATCTTTGTTGTCTTCTCTGCACTCTTTTTAGAGCCTCAACATCTTTTTTACATCGTGGCAACTAAAACTGAATGCAGTATTCCAAGTGTGGCCTTACAAAGGCATTATAAAGTGGTATTAACACTTCATGTGATCTTGATTCTATCCCTCTGTTTATGCAGCCTAGAACTGTGTGTTGGCTTTTTTGGCAGCTGCTGCACACTGCTGGCTCATATTTAAATAGTTGTCCACTAGGACTCCAAGATCCCTCTCACAGTTACTACTATTGAGCAAGGTACCACATATACTCTACCTGTGCATTTTGATTTCTTACCTAAATGTAGAGCCTTACTTTTTTCACCATTGAATTTCATTTTGTTAGAAAGCGCCCTAAATAGGGGATGATAATTCACAACAACTAGATTTCAGTATTCAATGGACATGCTGCAGCTTATGTTCTCATAAACACGTATAAAATCTTGGGTAAAACCCTATTCTATCAGATTAGTATAGTATAGCCTTCCAGTTGGAGATGTTATGGCAGATCAGTCATCCTGGAGGACAGTCGAAGTAAGATAGTAGACTGGATTAGATTCTTTAGTGGTGTTACTGAAGTACAAGATGTAAAATCTGAATTGAGCTCCCTGAAAATTACAGCCTACAAATCTTCTATTTCAGTACCCATTTATATCACATTATTGACAATCGCAGACAATACTTGCTTCTGCCTCTCAGCTGTTAACATAATTATCCAAGGTGCACCTTAACAAAACACCACCTGGTAGTTTTGCCTCCAATTTTTAAAAGACTCTCCAGTTGTGCTTCCAAATTTCCAGCTGCTAATGCTCTCAAGTCCAGTCCTTTCCCATGTTTCTATCAATATTTTTAGCAACCGAAACAAATAAAATATTATTAAAAAGGACATACAATCTTCAACGTTCAGGTATTTACAATGCAGGTGGCAGATCCAGACAGAAAAAGATAATCTGAGCCTGGGCTTGGTCTTCCTATATTCAACTCATATACAGGATCTGCTTACTATTTTCATATTATAAGAACATAAGGCAATTATAGAAACATAAGGCAATAAGGTTCAAGGTGTGGTGACTTATCCTTGTAGGAAAAAGGGTCTTTTGTACATATTCTTTTAATCTTTCCAAAGTTCATGTTTTTCAGATGTCTTGCGCTATAACTCCTTTCAATACCATGCTTAGCCATGCTAAATAGTAACCCACATGTGGACTGCACCAACTTGGAAGAGGCTGCTTTCCAATCATGTGAGAACTACTACAATAGGAAGCATTTGATGTGCATTTCTGAATCATTAAAAAAAACAATCCATATTTCAGACATCTTATGATGAACAGACCCATGAAAATCGGATGGGAGTGAAGCCAACATTTTGGCTATCTAACAGACTTTTCCCTCTTTCAAACAGCTATAATCTTCTTCTAAAATTCTTTTCTAATATTATCAACGTTCCATCCAGTTTTAGTCCGTCTTCATTGTTTTGCTAAGCCAAGATTTTTTTTCCTTTTCTTTATCAGTGTGGCAAAGTTTAAAAAAAGAGTAGGATTCCTGAGCCTTTTACAGTTTTGAAAGAGATAGAGAGAGGCAGAATATGATACCCACCAAGTGTAGCTTATCATGAAACTATACCACTTGCAGTTCCCTTTTTAAAGGGACATAAGCCTTTTAAATCTGGCCATTCTAATGTTTAAAATTTGCCAGTGCTAAAGTGTAATTTCAATTTGCATATCACATAGTTGTTTCTCCTCTTCATTCAAAAGAATGCAATTTGGTAAGGAATATACCAGGGAAGGCAAGTTGAAAGATGGAGGGGGAATCAATAAATTCTTAAACAATTGTTAAATGGAACCATTTTTATTCCACTATTGAATTTTATAGCTCTTTATAAGGATGTACTAATGGCTTAGTTTCAATTTTTAAAATATAGATGAAAATTAATTTTGTTGGAAATTTTGTCATGAAGCAGCAATTTACGAAGGATTTTGGTGCAAAATCATTTTACCCTTTAAAGATTGCTACATTGATATAATATGCACTGTGCCAAAATTCAGATTAACTAAACTTGGAATTATTGGTTCTTATCAAATAAGAGGAATATGGACAAAATATGCAGGGGAGGAAGACAACTTATGTCTGAGCTTATGGTATTTCTTCTATTTGTTTGTTTGTTTGTCAAACATGTACAAGATAACAAGTGTAGGTATCAACATAAACATAAACAAAGGAAGTAAATACAAATAAATGGGGACAGTAAGACAGGGATGGTAGGCATGCTGGTGCGTTTATGCACGCCCCCTTTACGGATCTCTTAAGAATGGACTGAGGGCCACGGTAAACAGTTTGAGGTTGAAACTATGAGGGTTTGAGGCTGTAACAAGGCTGTAATTGTGGTATAACTGTGTCTAACAAGAAAATACAAGATAAACCACAAGACAGCTTGAGAGCCGTATAATTTAGCTAAAACATTATCTAAAAGTTTTTCACATTTTATCCACCCATTAGCAAATTCTTCTTCACATATTCTGGGAACGTGTAATTTATCAACACACTGAAGAAAGCTTCTTTAATTGTTCTAACTCTTATGGTTAGAAATATTTTCCCTTTCCTTGGTTTTCTTATAACTCTTTCTTATAAGCCTATTGGAACCTCCTCTGCATTATTCTTCAGCAACAC